GCGCGAATCCCCCCCCCCGCCTTCCCGGGGGGGTTCGTGCAGGGCGCACTTGGCGCCGCCGACGACCTGGAGCCCCCCCTCTCCCTCTTTCCCGGGGGGGGTTGTACCAGGCGCACCGCGCCGGCGCCCGGCGCCCCCTCCCCCCCCCTTGCGGCAGTGGGGCGGGGGGTTCCTGTGGGAGTGGGGGGGGGCTCTTGTGGGGGCGGGGGGGGCTGGGAGCTAGGGGGATGGGTCTTTGAGGCATGGGCGTGGGGTGGGAGGGAGGACTAGATGGATGAATGGAGGTACGGATGGATGGACGGATCGACGGACGGATATGAGATAGGTGGTCCAGGGTCTGCCCCCCCCCCCATGCTGATGCCATCGGGCCCCCCCCCCCGCTCGATGGGCCCCCCCCAATGCGGGCGTGGCGTGGTGGCCCCCCCCCGCCCCCCCTGTGGGCGTGGGGTTGTGGTGGTGGTGGTCGTCCTCGTGGTCGTTCTCGTGGTCGTCGTCGTCGTCGTCGTTGTCGCGGTGAGGAGTGCGATGGAGTCGGGATGAGTCGGGAAGGGTGCCGAGGAGGGCCGAAGAGGGCGATGGAGCGGGGAGGAGTCTGGGAGGAGAGCCGCGGAGTGCGATGTAGTGGGGAGAAGCTTGGAGGAGCGGGGGGAAGTGCTGAGGTCTGCGATGGAATGGGGAGGAGGCGGGAAGAGTGCCGAGGAGGGCCGAAGACTCCGATGGAGTTGGGAAGAGTCGGGAGGAGCGGTGAGGATTGCCGAGGAGTGTGACGGAGTGGGGAGGAGTTGGAGGAGGGGTGGGGAGCCCCAGGGAGACCTCCGGGGGATTGCGGAAAGCCGGCCCCCTACTTCCGGAAAGCTCCGAGAACGTCCGGCCCCCTATTTTACTTCCGGGAAGCTTATGGGGCTGCGGGGGCCTCCGGGGATCTTTGGATGTCGTCGTCGCCGTCGCCGACGCCGCCGTCGCCGACGCCGCCGTCGCCGACGCCGCCGCCGATGCCGCCGCTGGACACTCGCACGCGCTGCCCGGGCGCTGCCCCGCGTTCCGGCCATCCCGGGGGGGTTCGTACCGGGGCGCACCGGCGGGGCGTCCCGGGGTTTCGTAACGGGGCGCATCGGCCCCGGGGGGGTTCGTGATCCCGGGGTGTTTCGTATAAGAAACCCCCCGGACGAAGCGATTCCGGGGTGGGGGGTTCGCTCCGCACCGGGCACCGCCGACATGTGTCGGCGGTGCCCCGTGGCGCGAACCCCCCCCCCGCCTTCCCGGGGGGTTTTGAAAAGGGCGCACCGTGTGCCGCCGACGACCTGGAACCCCCCCTCTCCATCTTTCCCGGAGGATTTTGTACCAGGCGCACCGCACCTGCGCCCCCTCCCCCCCCCACATGAAAATGGATATGTATAAGCACTTGAAAATGCACATGTGTAAGCACAAACACATGTATATATGTGTATACATATACACATATGATCATATATCTATATGTACACAGAACCATTACAGACAAAAAACGGTGGGCTGGGATCGGTGCCAGTTGATTATCCCCCTGTCCGGGGCCAGAAATCTTTAAAGCACAGCGTGTGCTTGATCCCCTTTTGAAGTTTGAGAGGACCACGCTGGCCGCCGAATTGCGGAAGAGCGCCGAGAGTTCCGTGGTCTGGGCCATGAAACATACTTGCAGCATTCAGTGCTGGAGAATTCGTACGGAGTTGAGGGGACGATGTTCAGTTTCTCGCTGCTCGGTGGCGGACTAGAATGATTAAAATGTCTGTTTGCGCGAACCCTACACAGGAAACTCTGGTACTCTGGATGTTGAAACTACCTGGTGCAAGCTACGTGGTGCAATCCGTAAGCCGTGTGGTGTACGTAATTGTGTCACAAAAACAGTTGCCCACTGCCTTGCTAGCACAAGCAGCCCAACCTCCTACCCGCAACTTGTTTGGCACAACCTTTGCAGCCACGTTTGCGGCTGCCAGTCGGAACTTGCTTGCGCATCTCTAAGGCCGTATTGGCGCGCGCACGCTCACGCACAGCTTGGCCACTTGAGTTGGCACAACTGGTGCGGCCGCGATGGCGCTTGATGATGGGAACTTCCCAGCGCGTCTCCAAGGCAGCGCTGGCGCGCGGGCGTGTTCAATGTGGGATGGTGTCTCGGGCGGCGCGGTACCACGATGACGTCGACAAATGCGGCAACCATGACGATAATAGCGATGGCCGTGGCGACGGTGCCGGTGACCATGTGGGCGACCGCAATTCCAATGACGGTGCCGATATTGGTGGCGACGATGACGATGATGATGTTCATGCGTCGGTGATGGAAGTGGTTGTGCTGATGATGGCGGCAGCGAAGAAAGACGATGGTGATAACAGCGGCGATTCGATGGTCGCCAGCGGCGACCGGGTGAGGGGGATGAGCGCGATGAGGAAGTTAGCGCGCGCACACAGTCAATCAGTCTGTCCAGTTGTTGGATGAAGAGCAGCGCGCTTTTCATTTGTTGGATGAGTGGCACCCCGCAGTTGCAAGTAAAAGGGGGCGGGCGCGGGGCGGGTCGCGGGCGGGTCGCAGACAGGTCGCGGGCGGGTCGCGGGTGGGTCGTGGGGCGGGTCGCGGGTGTGTCGCGGGGCGGGTCGCGGGGGGGTCGTCGCGGGCTGGGTCGCGATTTGGACGACGACAACAACAAACAAACAAACAACAACAAACAACAGCGCAGCACCAATCCGCACCGCGGAACCGCACGCCAGCCACGCACCCAGGGGCAGTGACTGACCGTCCGGCCCCCTCAACCCGGCATCTCGAGATGCTTCGAGAACCACCTGGCTTTGGAGTACTTCGCGGCGCAAGCTGTGCAGTGCAGTGCAGGCCACGTGGCGCAATTCATGTGGTGCAGGCAGTGTGGAGGAATCTACGTGGTGAGAGCTCAGCTCTCACCACGTAGATTCCTCCAGCCGATTTCGATTTGGCTGCCGGCTTTTGCCGATTTCTGCCGATTCGATGCTCCAGTCGACCCGATCCGGCTTATCGATTCGATGCTGGGGCCGCCTGGTGTGGTGAGAGCTTTAGGTGGTGCAGGCTCTGTGGTGAGAGCGGCGACGGATGTCCACCGCGCGACTGGACCCGGCCAGCGCAGGAGGCGGCGACCAGGCGACGACGGGCGCACGCCGCGCGGAAGCCAGGAAACGACAGCCGGTCGCTTAGATGACAAGCGCGAGCCTTCTGTTGTAAGGGTTGCTTGAGAAGCACGACGACGACGAGGACGACGATGACGACGAGGACGAGGACGAGTACGAGGACGACGACGACGACGACGACGACGACGACGACGACGACGACGACGCGGTGCATGCCCCGGTGGCGGGGGGGGGGGCGCAGCGCGAGAGGGGCTCCTGGCCAACCGTTGTGCGTCGCATCGGTGGCTTTGGTCTTGTACTGCGCGGGAGCGCATTGCAAAAAACAAGCTGGCAGTTGCAGCGGATCCTGGTGTTGTCTGGCATTTAGAAATGACACATTCGGCGAGGCCCTCTGCTCCTGTCCGCATCGGCAAGGATTATGGTGTTACCCGCCTCCCGTTTCACCCCGTTGAGTTTTCAGAGATCTGCGGTTGTTCGGGGAGCTTTGTTGCAGGATGTTTCTACGTTTCTCGGAGATTCCGTTGGGGTGTGGGGCTTATGGGTAACCGTGTAGCCCTTGTAAGCTTGTATTGCAGCCATGCGGTCGGGTCTCGTGGCCGTCTTGGAGCTCTCTTGGGCCAGTCTCTGGGGTGGAAGTGAAGGCAAGTCTCGGGGGACACGCGCGATGACGAGGGGGTCGCCTCAGCAAGACGACAGAAACTCTACCAGACAACTTGCAGGCATTGCCAAATGCCCCACTGCTACGAAGGATTTCGTCACCCATTGGGTTCAACTGCTGCATGATGAACCGACTTTACGCTTCCATCTCTCCCTGCCCCTTGATTCCACCTCGCCTGGCTCCTGGTTGTCGACCGCATGCTGCTGAGCGTTGCGACTTCTGGACTTCAAGTTCTCATGTCTAGTGCGGGTGGTCCCGCCGTCATTGTGCGACACCCGGGCCGGGCACGTCAGAGCAGGTGTCCTTTTGCTGGCGATTGCTGCCCCAGGTCAGACAGCCTTACTGTTCCGAACCCTCCTGTGTTTCCCTGCCCCCAGTGTGAATCCACAGCGCCGCGGCCCACCTAGTTCACTCACTCACTCCTCGCTCACTCCTCCTCCTCCTCTTCCTCCTCCTCTTCCTCCTCCTTCTCCTCCGCTTCCCGCTGCCGCTGCTGCTGCGCTGCCTGCTGCGTGCTGCTGTCCTTCCGTCGTTGCCGCTGCTCCGCTGCTCGCGCTGATGCCGTCTGCCTCCCCCGCCTGTTTCGGCGCATCCGTCACGCGGGTCGTGCCCCATAGTGAAAGCTGGCGCCTCTGCGGGCGCCCGCACAGCGTTTCCAAGCTCATTTCGGCGCACCCTCGAGGCGGATCATGCCCCATGGGGAGCCAGGGAACCCCACTCGTGGCGCCCGCGCCGCGTCTCCGCGTCGATTTCGGCGCACCCCTCACGCGGGTCGTGCCCCCTGGCGGCGCGGACTCTCGGACTGGACGGACGGGGCAGGAGGGAAGGAGGAGGCAGGAGGGGGAGGCAGGGCAGAAAGATGAGGCAGGAGGAGGAACAGGAGAAGGAGGAGGCAGGAACGGAGGAGGAGGAGGACGCCAAATGAGGGGGGAGGAGGCGGAGGAGAAAGATGAGGTATGAGGAGGTCTGGGGGGAGTATGTGGGGGAGGAGAGGCTAGGAGGATACAGGAGGAGACAAGAGGAGACAGGATAGGAGGAGGAGGAGGAGGATGAGGAGGAGGAGGAGGAGGAATAGTAGGAGCAGGAGGATGAGGCAGGACAGGAGGAGGCAGGACAGGAGGAGGCAGGAGGAGGCAGGACAGGAAGGGCGGGGGGGAGCCCACTAGCCCACCTTCCCGAGCAGACTGGGCCGATCCTCCCTCCCCGGGCTCCCGCCCAGGGGCAGCGCGTCGGCCTTTTCGGCATCCTGAAGCGTCCCGCGCGCGCTGGTGCTCCGTTGCGGGCCCGCGCCCTTCGCCCCTAAAGTGGGGTCGGGCACGCGACATGCTTTACCGGCAGGCCTACCGGCCTGCTGGTAAAGCACCTAGGCGCCTAGGTGCACAGCGGTGTTGCCGAAGGTGTCTCTGGCCAGGGGTGTCCCCAGGATTCCCTGGAGGTCCACGTGGCTTTCAGGGTACCCTCTCGAGGCCCCGGGGGCTCCAGAACGTCGCGAGGGGCTGGGGGCACCCTGGGCCCGGGCCGCCCCTGGCAGCACACGACCCTAGGCGCTCAGCGGAAGGACGTCTGCGTCCTTGCCGCTGTAGATCTGATCGGTCAGCCGCCCCGCCGGTCAGTCCGTCGCAGGGGGGGAGAAAGACGCCGGAGCTTCTCCGCGCGCGGCCGGGCGCGGGCGGGGCGGGCGGGGCCATGGCGGGAGGGGAGGGGCGGAGGAGGACGAGGAGGAGGAGGAGGAGGAGGAGGAGGAGGAGGAGGAGAGGAGGGAGGAGGAGGAGGGAGGGAGGGGGAGGGGGGGAGGAGGAGGAGGAGAGGAGGAGGAGAGGAGGAGAGGAGGAGGGAGGAGGAGGAGAGGAGGAGGAGGGCCAGGATAGGAGACGAGGAGAAGAAGGTACGAAGAGAGGAGGCGGGGGAGGAGGAGGAGGAGGAGGAGAAAGAAGATGTGGATGAGGAAGAGGGACAGGAAGAGGAGGTGGAAGAGGATACTACGACATATGAACGCCATGAACATATATATATATATATATATATATATATATCAGTACATCAGTCAGTAAACACATATGTATACATGTTATTGATATATTGATAGATCGAGAGATGTAGAGAGAGGGACACACATAGTTAGAGAGAGGGCTACTTACACCCACACACGCACACACACACGCGCATACACATATACAGGTATATATGTTTATGTATATCTATATGTGTGTATACACGTACATACATACATACATACATACATACATGCAAATCTATAAAAAAAGAGGGAGAGATAAACAAACGAGATAAACAGAGATACTGCTATATATGGAAAGAGAGAGAGAGAGAGAGAGAGAGAGAGCGGGAGAGAGGGCGAAAGAGAGAGAGAGAGATACATATACAGAGAGCGAGAAGGTAAGAAAGAGAGAGAGAGAGAGTGAGAAAACAAAAAGATATACAACCGATAGGGATATATATATATATATACATATATATATATAGAGAGAGAGAGGGGGGGAACGAGAGAGAGAGAGAGACGGAGGGAGAAACACAGAGAGAGAGAAAGAGAGAGAGAGAGAGAGCAAACAAAAAAAGAGGGAGGGCGGGGGGGAGGGAACGGGGCGTGTTGAATGTGGCCTAGGCGAGCGAAAGCGCCAAAGCGAGGTTCAGCAGCGAAAGTTGCCAAGGCACGGGGCGCCGAAACACGCAGGCTGAGAAGAGCTATGGGGAGGAGGAGGAGGAGGAGGAGGAGGAGGAGGAGGAGGAGCAGGAGGAGCAGGAGGAGCAGGAGGAGGATGAAGAGGAGGCGGAGGGGAGGAGGAGGAGGAGAAAAAATAGGAGGAAGGGGAGTAGTAGGAGGAGGAGGAGGGGGAGCAGGAGGAGGAGGAGCATAAGGAAAAATGGAGGGGGAGGTGCAACAGGAGGAGGTGGAGGAGGAGGAGGAGGAGGAGGGGGAGGAGGAGGAGGAAGAAAATAAGGAAAAGGCGAAAAAGGATAATGCCCAAACGCACTCCAGCTAAGCCGCTTGCCACGGTGGTTCACACAGCGCGATCGGGAGGTCTCTCTTTGTCCAGGATCACAAGGGGCCAGACCAAGGCAGGATGCTGGCGCGCGCTCGCGGGGATATCGGGCGATGTCTCGGTTCAGATTCTGTGCGTGCGGCCGAACACCGCCGTGCGCGACGCGCGAAGCACGCACGCCCCCCCCCAAAAAAATGGCCCGATGTTCCCGCGACACATGGCAGGACCGTGGATGCGGCAATGGGGGGAGCAGAGCGAGAGACGGAGGAGAGGACGGGCTGGGAAGGGCAGGGGGCAGCCAGGGTTGGGAGGCTGATGACCGAACGAGAGCGAGGATGAGGAGTTGGAAGGAGGGGAGGGAGTAGGAAAGGGGCCACACCGACGAGGAGGAGGAGGAGGAGGACCAGTGTAAACCAAAAACGAGACAACGATGTTGCAGTTCACCTTTCCTCCAAGTTCCATGCTTCATGGTTCCTTACAAGAGTGTTTTTCATTGCCAGACGTGCCCCTGTGAAAAACAATTATTTGAGAATCCTCAAGCGTGCCAGAACGCCGTTCCTGATATTCCAACGCCACGAATCAACAGGATTGTTGCGTCCTGACAGTCCTAGATCGCGCCAGAACGCCATTCCTGAGACTTCGAGGCCGTGGATATCCTGACAAGCCTGAACTGCATTAGAACACAATTCTTGTGATTCCAGCCGCACGAACCTTTGGAAGCTGCTGCAAGTTGGTGAAGACGATTGTGCGCAGCGCGCTACGGGAAGAACCACAGTTTGAAAAGGTGCCGCCCTCCATCCCTGAAGCCGCTGCAAACTTTCAAACCGTATGGGTCCGGCGCGGAGGCGACAGCCTCATTATGAAAACCAGCTGCCTTCCATCGATTCGAAGTGTTTGCAAAGTGTGTCAGACGGGTGCGCGCGGCGCTCAGGCGCGAGCCTCATCCTGACAACGGCCCACCCTCCGTCCTTGAACCATGTCAGTCTTTCGAGACGAAGGCGCGCGGCGCTAAAGCGAAAACCGCGTTTTGAAAACGAACCGCCCCCCATCCGCGAAACAGCTGCAAACCGCAAGCTTCAAAAACATAAAAGGTGAGGGTGTCTCGGGCGACATGCCCGCCCCGCCCTACCGATACAGATGGTGGTGCCCCACAGGGTACATTATTCAGGAGGACAATAATGAATGGAGATGGAGGGGGAGGGGGAGAGGGAGGACGACGATGACGACGACGAGGGGGATGATGATGATGATGATGCTGATGCTGATGCTGATGATGATGATGATGATGATGATGATGATGATGATGATGATGATGATGGTGATGATGATGATGGTGATGATGATGATGATGATGACCTACACGATGACGACGACGACGATTAGAAGGAGAACGGAAGAGGAGGAAGGAGAAAAGACGCGGGAGGAAGGAGGAAGGGAGGATGGAGGAAAGGAGGAATGAAGGAGGAGGGGAGGGAGGAAGGGCGGACGGAGGAACGAGGAACGAGGAAGGAGGGAAAGAGTCAAGGAGGAAAGGAGGAGAGGAGGAAGGAGAAAAGGAGGAAGGAGGAAGGAAGGGAAGGGAGGAAGGGAGGCAGGAGAGAGGAGGAGGGAGGAAGGAGGAAGGAGGCGAACCACGAGGGGAGGGCGACCCCCGGGGCTCCGGGAACCGCGCCCCGGCGGGCGGCCGCAGCCCGGGCTTTGCCCTGGGCGCCGCCGAAGTTGCCGAGAGGCGGGTCGCGAACCGAGTGCGGCCTGGGGGGAGCCGCGAGCGGTTTCTTATTCCCCCGCCCTTCTTCTTCTTCTTCTTCTTCGTATTCTTCTTCTTATTCTTCTTCTTATTATTATTATTATTATTATTATTCGTCTTCTTCTTCTTATTCTTCTTATTATTATTCTTCTTCTTCTTTTTCTTCTTCTTCTTCTTCTTCTTCTTCTCCTCCTCCTCCTCCTCCTCCTCCATAGATTGTTCCTCCTCCTCCTCCTCCGTAGCCATTTTGGCTCAAGACTGATGCTTTGGCGGGCTGAGCCCGCATTGGCAAGACTGGACACCGCTGTTACCGCGGCAGTGCCAGAGCGTTTACGCTCGACAGCTCTCAGCCAGTACCGCACGGGCTTCCTGGCGGCCCCTCTCGTTCACTCACGGCGCAGACATGGCGCCGTCCCCGTGGTCTCCGGAGGCCAAGTCGGATTGGATGTGCAAGTTCTGCACTTTTCGGCGCACTGGTCTCCCTCTCATCAATTACGGCAGCAATGAGAAGTGCTTCAAGTGTAAGGTACACAAGGGGCAAAGTTTCAAGTGTGTGGTTCCCGCCGACTCCCCGAGCCGCAGCACCAAGCGCAAGCCCCCTCCCACTGCGGGAGAATCCTCTGCCTGGGCCAAGCTTGAGAAGCGTCTACAGTCTCTGGAGGCCGAGAATCAGCGTTTGCGGGCGCCACAGGATGGTGGACAGCAGTCGCAAGCGCAAGCATCAGACCTCATGTCAGAAGAGCTACGTGATGAGATCGACGGCCTGGTCAAGCATGTGCAGTGGTTGGAGTCAGTCAAGTTACCATGGGCCGCTCAGCCGTTACAGACGGCTCGTGACCAGCTTGAGGCAGCTCGTCGCAAGCTATATGAGAATAAGCCCCTTCCAGCGAAGCTTACTGCGCTTTCGAGGCGAGCTGAGCAGGCCCGTCAGCGTCTTCAGAAGGCAGAGGCGAACAAGCTGGAGGCAGACAAGGCGTTGGCAGCTGCTCAGAGCCAAGTGGATTCAGCAATCCAGGCGCTGGAGGAGCGCAAGAAGGCTGTTGAGGACCTCGACGAAGAGTTGCGCCAGCTTTCGTCGCAGCCTGTCCTGGCTCCGATGGCGGTGGATCTCACGGGGCCAGAGTTATACCTCAGCGAGTCCAAGTTGGTTGAGTGCTTGGGCTCGATGGACGGCGTCGCCGACGCCGCCAAGCTGGCACCCATGCTGGTGGAGGTGCTCAAGGCGAGGTCAGCTGAGCTCTTCTCGCAGCCGCCCGAGAAGAAGCAGAAGACGCAGGAGGCAGGTGTGGCGCCGCCCACTCCAGGCCGTGCTGAGCCAGACAAGCCTGCTGAATGGAACCATCAAGACATGGACGTGGAGGCTCTGCGCAAGGACGTGGCCGACTTCGTGGAGGAGAGTGCAGAGGAGGCCATCCTGCGCGAGAAGGCGAAGCAGCTGGCAGCAGGCGGCTTCCGACCCCCACGCCTACGCAATCCTAACTATTGATTGCCCCCGCATGCTGGA